TGTGTACTATATCATTTTATGCTATTGGATACGAAATGTAGTTGCTGATTTAATATCCATTCTCTTTGATAGATAATTTTGGAGTTCTTCCATCTTCTTAAATAACCCCCAAAATTTGCTGTTTTAGGGCAATCAGGCCATTTCACTATTAATCATAGTTCCATATTTCTCAACCTTGACAACTTAAAAAGACGTGAACTTCAACTCCCAGAATCCCAGCTAGCGTACTGAAGTCCACACCTCCTTCTTATTTACTTATCCTCTTTTAGGACACTTCCATTTCTAGTGGTTCAACCATAATTAGCTTTTTCTTTCTTGGGTCTTAACATGATTCATGATATGCACCTCCCAATCTTTGTTAAAATTTCTTTTGTTGTCTTCTGTTTCTTCTAAGCAAATTTGGGCTCTTCACCAAAATTTTTCACCAAAGGTTCTTGATTAAATTACATTTTATTTATTTATTTATTTATTTATTTAATTAATTAAATTTATATCCCGCCCTTCTCCTTGCGGACTCAGGGCGGCTAACAATCAGATAAAAATACAAAAATAACATTACAGGTTAAAATTAATTAAAAGGAAAATATTTGAATTTGATCCAATTAAGATAAATTTAAAACCCCCTCTAAAAATTCCCCTAGGCCAGTCCCGCAAGCTGGAACAACCATGTCTTAAGGGCGCGGCGGAAGGAAGGGAGATCAGGGATTACCCTGATCTCTGGGGGCAGTTCATTCCAGAGGGTGGGAGCTCCCACAGAGAAGGCCCTCCCCCTTGATTACTAGGAAGAGAATAATCCAATGTTGATCTGACAAAAAAAATATAATCCTTCTCAGAGCATATAATTAACATGTGATTCGTTACCCCGGCCACTTATTGGACTGGAGGACTGGAGAAATTTATGGAGGACAGTTTTGTCAAGGGCTGTTAGTCTTGAAAATTCTATATTACCCCTAGGTTGGAGAAAATGTGCCTCCAAATACTGTGCCTCTCAATGATATTACATCCACATGGAGAAAATTAAGCAGTGGGGTACCACAAGGCTCTGTCTTAGGCCAATATCTTCATCAATGACTTAGATGAGGGAACTGAAGGGGAACTCATCAGATTTGCAGATGACACTAAACTGGCAGGAATAGCCAACACCCCAGAAGACAAGCTCAGGATCCAAAAAGATCTTGACAAACTTGAACAATGGGCCCTATCCAACAAAATGAGTTTCAATGTGGAAAAAAACAGAGTTTTACATTTGGGCAGGAAAAATCAAAGGTACAAGTACAGATTGGGCGAGACCTGGCTCAAAAACAGTAATTGTGAGAGGGACTTTGGTGTCCTAGTGGACGATCACTTGACTATGAGCCAGCAGTGTGCAGCAGCAACCAAAAAAGCTAATACAATTCTGGGTTGTATAAACAGAGGCATAGAATCAAGATCACATGAAATATTAGTACTGTTTTATAAAACCCTAGTGAGACCACACCTGGAATAGTGCAACCAATTTTGGTCACCATACTACAAAAAAGATGTTGAGACTTCGGAAAAAGTACAGAGAAGAGCAACTAAGATGATCAAAGGTCTGGAGACTAAAACATATGAAGAACAGCTGCAGGACTTGGGTTTGGCTAATCTAAAGAAAAGAAGAAATAGGGGTGACACCATAGCAGTATTCCAGTATTTGAGGGGCTGCCACAAAGAAGAGGGGGTCAAATTATTCTCTAAAGCACCAGAGGGCAGGACAAGGAACAATGGTTGGAAACTGATCAAAGAGAGAAGCAACCTGGAATTAAGGAGAAACTTCCTAACAGTGAGGACAATTGACCAGTGGAACAGCTTGCCTTCAGAAATCATGGGTGTTCCATCACTGGAGGTTTTTAAGAAGAGACTGGACAGCCAGTTATCTGAGATGGTATAGGACAGGTTCTCCTACTTGAGCGGGGGGGCTGGACTAGAAGACCTCCAAGGTTCTATTCTATTCTATTCTATTCTATTCTATTCTATTCTATTCTATTCACCAGTTACAGTGGGATAATTGGAGGAGATAAGTATGTCTGCAACCCCTTTCTTTTAAAGGAACATTTTAATTTTTTTAAAACATTTAAGGAATTAAGTAACTGCATTAAAAAAAAGAAAATGAATAATGGCATAATGGGAAGAAAACAAAATATCATAAATAAGCATAGAATTTACAAGTGTCATAAAATTTAAAAAACAGTATTTCCATATTTCATTGATTAAATAATTAAATTGAATATATAAAATTAGACTCATCTTTACATATTGAAAAACACTACAAAACTCTAAACATTAATATTATTATGGATGTCATCACTATTTATCATTAGCTAAAATAAATCTATACCACTCAGAATTCCTCTCTGTGAGGGAGATGGGCAGATCTTAAATATGATAAAACAAACAAATATACATCTTATAAACAAGAATGATGAAAAATAAATACCAAAAACAATCAGTAAAAAAAGTATTAACTTCCAGATTCCCTCCCATTATACCCAACTGGAAATTACCCGTATTTATAAACATTAAAATTGCTTCTAATTACTATTTTATATCAAATATTTCCCCTTTAAAAAAAAACTGTACCGTGTTTTTTGGGGGGAACGCCTCAGAAGCATCTGGCTACCCATTGTGAAAAACTAAGATGGCCTTTGGCATGATCCAGCAAGGCTGTCCTTACGTTCTTGTGTGTGTGTGTTTTTATGGCCTGGCTGACATAATCCTTTCCCCCCCCTAATGGCTTGACATTGTTTCTTACAATGCTATAGACCTTCAAGATTGGCAGTATTTTTCCTAATCTTTGGCATACATTTGAACCTGAATAAAAATGTGTTTATTCCTTCAACCAGTTTTGCTTATTTTAAGGGTTTTAGACGTGAGCTTGCATTAATGGTTTTGTTGATAGTCTGCCCGGGAAATGGGCAGATAAGAACTTGCTGTCAAGCAGTTTGTTACAGTATGTTTTGAAACTTAAATACAAGAGTTGTTCGTTTAACTTGCGTGGGAAAACCACTAGGACTTAAGGGCATTCTGAAGCATGTGAAATCTGAAATGAAAAATGTTTAGTAGTAAGATTAGATAAATGTAGATATGTATAGACACACACACACACACAAACACACACTGTCCTTACAGATAGTCCTTGTTTAGTGATTGCCTTGGATAATGATTATTTGCATGTATGACAGTGTTGAAAAGTAACTTTGCAACTAATCCCCACATTTACGACCATTGCAGACCTGCAAAGCAAAGGAAAGCTGAAGTAAGATTGTAAGCCCAACCAGGATTTCACTTAGTGGCTGCTTTGCTTAACAACTGAGTTGTTGGTCCCAAATGAGTTGTTGGTCCCAAGGACTGTCTACACTTACTTTCAACTTCACTGATTAGCTGAGTACCTGTTTGGTGTACTGTGGGAATAATGTAGTCCAGACATGTCAAACTCGCAACGTCATGTGACGTGGCGCGACGTATCGGAACGTTTTCTCCATTGCTGGCAATGGGGTGGGCGTGGTTTTATCGTGCTGGGCCGGCAGTTTCACACCCCTGATGTAGTCTAATATCTAATATCTCTTAGTGCATACTTCCGATATCAGAAGTGAGAGAAAAAGAGCTGAACAGTACAGTCCTATATAGTTTACTCAGAAATACGCCTGATAAACTCCAGTGGGAGTTTGTGTTAAGAAGACTTAAAGGCTTGCAGCCTTCCACCCAAAGCAGAACGTGACTTGATGACACCTAGCTGACTAATAAAGAAGGGGAAAATGCTGTCACTGCATATCTTTTATTCGCTCCCTTTCTGAATAGAAAAGTAAATAAAAGAGGCTTCAGGGATATCTAGGTAAAACCCTTCTAAACAACCCAAAACTCCCCGTCTTCATAGGTAACCTTGGGAATTTTATAGAATGACAGATCTTTTCCCTTTATAGTTGGAGTCAAAACTTTGCACTCAATCACAAAGGAATTCAGGTACGTTCCGAGTAACATGGGTAGAACGACGAATTTGGGTGGACGTTAAAAAAAATAAAAAAAACAGCACAAGAGAAAAGAGTGCTAAACACACATGGAGTTAAAATAGGTGAGGGGGGGGAAGGCATACTTTTCATCTTGATTTATAGCTCTGTTAAGCTTGTAAAAGGTGAAGATCAGCAAAGGGGAGAGTTGGCAGATCTGCTGGGCAGGTTTTACAAGTAACAGGTTTAAAATCAGGCCTCGAGGCACATTCTTGGACATGTGACTTGAAGTGACCTGGGAGGTTTCAACAGTAAACTTGCCTTTCTGAAGAACTTGGGAATTGACCCTTCTTGTGTAATCCTGGATTTACAAGATGTAAGAGACCAGAGAGTTGCAAAATATAACTTCATTGCACTATATAGGCTTATTGAATATATTAGCAGCACTCCATCTGATGCATGTGTTGCAGACTGAAACCAGACAGCTGGAACAAACACTGATCTGTAGTACCTGTGGAATATTTTTCTCTTTTTCTTCAGGGACTCTTGTGTATTTTGTTAATCCAGTGAAAATTCAAGCCACATGCTGAGTCACCCTCTCCTCCAAAAAAAAAGTCAAGATGCGATTCCTCTGTGTTGAAACCCCAATTAGTTGAATATGCTTTTCTTTCCTGACAAGCTGACAGGGAAATAAAATTCCTGTAATGCTCTTCCACCTAAAATGAGAGTGAAACTGCAATTTTTCAACAGTGCCAAAGCAAATCCCACGCATCTAAATATCATGGGATAAAAAGTTGACCCTTGGATCTTCTATCCCACGGGTGTCAAACCCGATCGCGTCACGTGACCTATCATGATGTATTGCAACGTTTTTTGCCTTTCCGGAGCCGGGGTGGGCGTGGCCTGCACGTGATGCATTCAGCCCGCGGACCGCCAGTTTGACACTCCTGTTCTATCCATTTCATGATTACTGTTAAGTATTTGAGCAATCCCACATGCTTCCTGACTCTTCCCTTCCCATTTATTTTCCTTTACTAGGCCACTGAAATCCCAGAGAGCGGCTACGGGGACCGTGAAAGTGCCTTCAGCGAATCAGATCTCTTTCCAGATGAAGACACCATGACCCTGGCCCAGCAGGAAGTCCACCATGAGTCTGATATGGACAGTGCCATTGAAAGTAACCACAGTTCAGAAGCATCAGTTGTGTGCAAGGTTGAGAAGGATGGTGTGTTGAATGGCCTCTTCCTGCCTGGAGATAAGTGAGTTCAAATATTGTTGGGAAAGCTTTTTTTTATGCTTTTAAAATGCCTTCAGCTGTAGGCCAGGTTCATCCTTGTAATAGGTATTGATGGATGCATTGCTTCCTCATCATTGGCTACCAATGGTAGCACAGCCGATGAAAATGTCTCTCAGTTACAGCATATATAAAGGGGGAAGGAAAGAGAGAGAGAGAGACCCATCAATTTGCTAACTTCAAGTTTCCAATTTTTGCTAACCTTTTGCCTTTCTCTTGAGAGGATCATTCTTCTTGGCCTTTGTTCTCAGCTTCTTGAATAAGGAATCAAAGCCTTTGTAGGAGTCATCAAAGGGCTAGTCCAAATAATTTGTGGATAGTCTTCTGCCTGTGATTTAACAGAGAAACTGAGATAAATATAGAAGGAACTCTGCTAGGCTAACATGGTGGACAGAACCAACAGTGGCTAGGTAATTGGAACCACAACATAGTTGTACAGTTAGATACTGCAGATTGGCAGAAGCATTGCAATATAATTGGATAACTTCCTGCTTTTCAGATGCCTGCAGTCCTTCAGCTACCCTGCTTGTGTCTTCTTGACCCAGTGTCTTCTTGACCCCTTGGCAAACATGCTGATGGTTGCTATTTCTACTGATTTCTTGAAAAATCTATCCTTCTACAGTAAGGTGTCAAACTGCCGGCCCACGGGCTGAATGCATCACATGGAAGCCGCGCCCATCCCAGCTCCGGCAATGGGCAAAAAAAATCCCAATATGTCGCCACATGTCACATGATGCGGCGAGTTTGACACCCCTGCTCCACAGCAGCGTTTCTCAATTGTGCCAACTTTAAGATGGGTGGACTTCAAGCTTAAGTCAGTTTACATGGAGATATTCTTCAACAACCTTTGCCCCACCCACTTATCCTAATTTAAATCCTACAATAATCTAACTCAGTGATTCCCCATTGCCGGTTCAGGAGTTTGGGAGTTGAAGTCCATCCATCTTAAAGTTGCCAAGGTTGAGAAACATTGCCCTAGACTAGAGTAGGGGTCTTCAAACTTGGCCCTTTTATGACTTGTGGACTTCCAACTCCCAGAATTCCTCAACCAGGCATGCTGACTGAGGAATTCTGGAAGTTGAAGTCCACAAGTCATAAAAGAGCCAAGTTTGAAGACCCCTGCTCTAGAGTCTTCTCAGTTAAAAAAATCAAAAGAATTACATACTGGATTTTGTACACTGAGCTCTGTGGTTCTGGGGCCTTTCACCAGTTGTAAGGCCTAGGTCAGTGGTGTCAAACTGCCGGTCCACAGGCCGGATGCGTCATGCTCAAACCGTGCCCACCCCATTGCCGGCAATGGCAAAAAATCACGACACGTCGCGACACGTCACGTGGCATTGCAAATTTGACACCCCTGGCCTAGGTATTCATAGAGGCCTCACAGAACAGAAGTGAAAATATGTAATCTGTGACTTATTCTTAGTGATCATTAGGGCTCTAGTTTCAATATATTAGAACGGAGGAGGTGAGTGGAAAGAGAGAGCAATCAGGATGTTAGCTAACCCGTTTGGTCCAGTTCCTGCAAATCAGTTGCTAATTGCAAAATATCCCAAATTATTCATTTTTTTGCTCTGTCTTGCATTCTTCTTGCCATTCTCCAGCCTTTCCTCATGTCATGTAATAAGGTGCAGCACTAAAACAACCCTGGCTGATTCTGCAGTGAAAAATGGTACTAGGAGACTGAATAGTGTTCACTTGGAATCATTCTTCCGATGTGTGTGTGTGTGTGTGTTTGGAAGGGGGTTGCATAGCACACTGGCTGCAAGTAGAAAAAGGCAGCACTAAGTAAAGGTGGTGCAAGAGGAAAAGCAATTAGTTGGGACAGCAGTAGGAATTAGGGGAAGAGGGATTGACTCTCTGTCAGAGGGCAGACAGAGAGCTCAAGTCTTGAAATCAGAGTTCCCAATGGGTAAAACAATTTAGTACTTCAAAGTTATTTAATTTTTATCACACCTTTTTAATATTTTTATAAATAACTCGAGGTGGCAAACATACCTAATACTCCTTCCTCTGATTTTCCCCACAACAACAGCCCCGTGAGGTCATTGAGTAACTGGCCCAAAGTCACTCATCTGGCTTTCATGCCTAAGGCAGGATTAGAACTCCTGGTTTCTAGCCTGGCAGGTTAAATATTCTAGGAATTTTTTCTTCGCTGCACTATTCTTAACTACTGGACCAATCTGGTTCTATGGCAGCAAAATAATGGGTCCAGGAATTGAGGTAACCCGTGGTTCTTGTACAAATACTCATCTGTGTATGTATAACAGATGTTATTGCACTGGTACTTGTACTACACCAGTATGTACAAAATAATGTTACTAATATTGGTCCTAATTGCCTAACGCTCCTGGTTCTGTCAGCATAGTACCAGAAGACCCTTTGTGTGAGTATCCAAGAGCTATATTGATTTGCCCCACAAAGCCAGTGCAAAGCAACTCAAATCTTCTTTGACAGAGCTATGGAGGTGACCTGATTTGGTTCATTGAATCAGAAAGGCCACCCAGTTCATCTTGTTGAAGCAATTTGGAAAGCTTTGAACTGCATCTGATCAAAGCTGCAGGAGACAGTTCCCATCACTCTTGTTTCCCAGCACTGGTTAAAATGTTTCTAAAGTGACAGCTGCCCAAGCAAAGCCATCTGGATTGGACAAGGTCCTAGACAGTTTCTGTTGCACACCTTCCTTGCTTGTGCTCTGCTGCCATCACTAAGCCTCTTTTCTGTTTGAAAACGATTTAAGTCTACAGTAACATAAAGGACGTAGATGATGAGAAAGATTTGCTTGACATTCCTTATTGATTAGACACTACAGTATTATTGTAGCAAACTAGGTTCTTAAAGCAGTTAAAGGTTAAATATATCCAGTGCTTTTTTTGTTTTTTTTTTTTTTTTTTTTCCACGGCCTTGAGTGTGTGCAGTATGTTGGGCGGAACGGATGGGATGTTCCAAGGTAGGTTTTTTCCACGGCCTTGAGGCAAGACCCACACTGTTTTTTTCGGGACTTATATAGTTATAAAACAATGTAAGAGGTTTAGACGTTAGAAAAGTAGATACTTCTTGCAATTTGTATACGTCGTTTGGACTGTTGCCTCAAATGTGATCATATACCAAGTGGAAGGATGCTTGTATCCTGGACTCTTGAGTGTTGGCTTAATGAAACTGTTTCCGTTTTCAGTATTTGAATTGGCTTTATCCTGAAAAGAGGAACAAGACCAGACAATACAATTCAAAATGTATTGAGTTTGTTCAAAATAGAGTCAAAAATTTGGAGAAAAGACAAAGGAATGTATTTAATTTAATAGTCTTATAGATGTATTCATTAAATGAGGGTACACACATACACACACACAAATGTTAGCTATAATATAGGGATTTTTAGAACTTTTAATTTGCTTAATTGCTTATAGTTCTTTTTTATTTTCCCATTTTCTAGAGATTTTTTTCCCCTAGGTACTTTATTATGGCATTTCTACCTTTTTTCTTTCTCTTCCCTCTTCCCTATATTATTTTATATATTTATAGTATATAATTGTTAATATAATAGTGTAGTTATATTATCATTTAGTTCATAAATAGTGCCACAAACTGCTATGGGCTTTTCTTAAGAAAACATAATTGTGATTTTGAAGTCTGATCCTTTATAAAGGATCTATATCCCATCAATCTTATCCTATCGCAGAACTAAATTTATTCCTGACTGTTTTTGGAGGGGAGGGGCATGGTTTCTCAAGTCAGACTTTGAATTTCCTCAGACTTGTCTTCTACTTGTACTTCCCAAATCCCACTCATCAGTTCTCTTCTTCTGCCCTCCTTTGACTGGCAAATCCTCTGTCCCCATCATTACAAGGCATAAATGCTGAAGTCACCAAGACCCAAGAAGGCAGAGAAACAAAAATTAGAGGGTGGGTTTTTGCAGAATCACTCAGTTTTGAGACTCCTTAGGTCAGGGGTAGGCAACCTTGGCTCTTTTATGACTCGTGGACTTCAACTCCCAGAATTCCTGAGCCAGCATGGCTCAGCTTGGAAACCTCTCCCTTTTCCCTCAGCATGGCTGGCTCAGGAATTCTGGGAGTTGAAGTCCACGCCTCATAAAAGAGCCAAGGTTGCCTACCCCTGCCTTAGGTAGTACTGCAGAGAAAACTCTTTTTGGTCTCCTTCACTAGCCTGAGCTCTGCAGAAGAAGGCTGAGATGGGCTCTGAAGCAGATAAAAGCAACTGCAATGTGATCACATTATTTCAACCTTAGAAGTAAAGGGATCAGCTTTGCTTTGAAGCACCTCTGAGGGAATGATTTGCTTGAAGTGTTGTTGAAGCAAAGCACGGTTTGGTAGCTTTCAAAACCCTGGATAGGTAGCTCTCATGTTAAGAAGATTAACTACCAATAAATGAGCCAACTTAAAGAAGATGAGGGTCTTTTAACATTGGAGCTTGGAAAATGCATAGACACCTCAAACCATCTGTTGAGGGCTTTGTTCCATTTCTAAGTCACCCTTCCATCAATTTGGCCAGGGCATCATAGGTACTTTTCTTCCAGCTCCACAACTTTCCTGAACTCAGCTAATTAGTCTAAAGTCACTCCATAAGTGTCACATCTAAATAAGAATATGAATCTAGCTCTTTCAAGACCTAGTTCAATGTGCAAACTGCGGAGTCTACTATCTTATATAAATATGTATTGTATAAACCTTTCCTTGCATTTCTTTATCATTTAAAAGAATCCAGTAGTATTTGGTAGCTGGATCATTTAGGTATGTTAGGGTCAAAAGCTGAATCAGTCTAAAGTGAATTACATATTAAGAGTCTATCTTCTCCTTCCTCCAACAAGAAAAATTGCTGGGGTATCTCTGTGTGCGTGAGAAGTATATTTGTATTCTGGCACTTGTGCATTTGCTGAACAGTTCATTGTGGGGCAAGTCAACCCCCCGCACACCAAAGGCTGCCTACCCAGTCTAGAACTCATTCTATAAGAATGATGTGAGCTTCCCCTTGAAGGTGGAGACAACTGCTAAGGAAAAAGTGAAGCACTTGTGGGAAGAAGAAAGAGAGATTGGCAGGGAAGAATAAATTTCAGCAAGTTCCAGGAACTCATAAGTACAGTATGTAGTACCGTATTTTCCGGCGTATAAGACTACTTTCTAAACCCTGAAAATCTTCTCAAAAGTCGGGGGTCGTCTTATACGCCCAGTCGTCTTATACGCTGGAAAATATGGGTATTCTATTTTATTCCTTTACACATGTGGTTTGGCATATTACTCATCAAGTTTTTTCTCCCCCCCCCTCTCTCTCGCTCAAACTCTATATTTTAACTGGAAAAGTTGGGGGTCGTCTTATACGCCCAGTCGTTTTATACGCCAGAAAATACGGTATATGAATCACAATGTGGTATATATTAGGAATGTGTATTTGTAATTATACAGTTCTTAAATGAGCTTAAATATTCAGTCAATGGCAAGCTACTTCTGTATTATTGCCAAAATAATTACATGGATGTGTCTATAAAGGCACCGAAAGGAGACTATATATTTATGGTATAAAAATTGTTTATAACAATGTCACTCTGCATTAGACAAGTGACCCAAAAAATAGGGAGGAGGAAAGAGTTTTATGTATCTCCTTCTTTTTGAGTTCAAGAACTGGATTGTCTTATGTTTTAGCTTGCTGTTTTAACATTTCTCTGCCAGTTTGAGCCTATTTTCTCAAAGTGATATCCTTCAATTTTTGGAAGTATTTTGTGTTTTGAAGATGGAAAGCTTATTGTTAGGATTGTGTCATGAAGTTTCCTTTCTTTTTCTCCCAAGATCAAATTTGCTGAATCCTGCATCTTCTGATCTTTCCACCTATTCCACTGCCTCTCTGATCAGTAACGAAGAACAGTTTGAAGACTATGGAGAAGGAGTTGATGTAGACTTTACCCCCAGCAGTCCTTGTCTTGATGATGAAAGCAGGACACATGCATATTCTGACCTTGGCTCATCTGTTTCTTCCAGGTTGGCTACTTTAATATATGCTATGCCTCACTTTAGATTGGAGGTGGAGAAAGGACTTAGGGAGATAACCATGACTGAGTTGCTTTGCTGTTCATGAATACTAGCTCCACCTTTTGCCTCTGCCTCCTTTGGGCAGAAACCTTGCAAGTATCTTTCTCAAATCCTAAGATAGTGAATTGGAGATGCAGCATATATTATTATTATTATTATTATTATTATTATTATTATTATTATTATTATTATTATTATTATTATTATTATTATTTGATGATGATGATGACAAGCAGCGGCATGACAAAGTAGCAACAATGGTGCATTGGAAGATCTGCAAGAAATATCATTTGCCTGCAAGCAAGAACTGATGGGATCATAAAATAGAGAAAGTGATAGAAAATTGCTCTGGGACTTTAGAATTCAAACAGACAAGCACCTGCCACATAACACCCCAGACTTAACAATTGTCGATAAGAAAGACAAAAAAGCTTGGATAGTGAACGTGGCAGTGCCTGAAGACAGCAGAATAGACGAGAAAGAACTGGAGAAGATAACAAAATACAAAGACCTACAAATAGAAATAGAACAACTGTGGCAAAGGCAAGCAAGGATAGTACCAATAGTAATAGGTGCCTTGGGTGCAATCCCAAAACAACTGGAACACTATTTGAACACCATCGGCATTGACAAATTCGCCATTAGTCAATGGCAAAAGGCGGCCTTACTAGGAACTGCTTCCATCCTGCGACAATATCTGTAATAACATCAAACATCCACATCTGCCTATCCCAGGTCCTTGGTAAGGACTTGATAGGTAGACAAAAATGCCAAATCCAGTCTGAACATCTGGCTGACTGTGCGATGATTAATGATGATGATGATGATGATGATGATGATGATGATGATGATGATGATGATGATGATGATGATATAATAAAAATTCTTGCAGGTTGGCATGGAAAATACTTTTGTATGTGTGATTTTTAATGTCAGAACTGAAAAACATTAATGGAAAATCTGAATAGCAAGATAATTCAATATGGAATCTTTAGTCTTGTTAAAGTATTGGAAATTGCTATTGCTTATATGGATTGGAAATTTCTACAGTATTTTTTCCCCCATGTTCACAAGATAAATTGGACTAACAATATATGGATAGTCAGAGCAGGAGTTAGCCACCTCAGGTCTTGCGAGCATAGGAGACTCCTAGGCTCCCCGGGGAGAGAATATGCAACTATAACTCCCCCTTTTACTCTAGCTGCCCTCAATTGGTGCTGGGTGAGGAAAGTGCCCAACACCAGATCTTTTTCATTATTAGGGGCTGGGGGAGGGGTATGTCTGAGGATCAGAACAGTCTTTCTCAATCATGACAACCTTAAGATATTGGACTTCAACTCCCAGAATTCTGGAAATTAAAGTCCACATGTCTTGAAGTTGCCAAGGTTAAGAAACACTGATCTAGAAAGCTCTACTTATGCCTGTGAGTAGAACTGATATTGAGAAAAACAGTGGAAAGTTAAATCCATTCTTCTTTTCCTTCCATCTGGAGGACAATTTAGTTTTCATGATTTTTTTCTTCCCAGTTTTCCTTTTGAGAGAGAATTGATATAGTAAAGGAAGTGGGTTGTTCCCAGAGGCTGGCTGGCTTGATAATCTTCCTTAATGGAACATGGCTGAAAATATCACAACTATTAATTCGGAAGTCCACTTTTTTATAATAATAATAATAATAATAACAACAACAACAACAACAACAACAACAACAACTGTTTACTTGATAGTCAATGCTTGAGGGGAGATGTTTTGGTTGTAAGTCTTCCCTTTGGCTTAAAAAAAGTGGAATGTATATAGAGTATTTAGCATTGACCTATCAAGAGCATTCTGAGAGTAAGGAAATGCCTGTAAATCTTTGAATAATGGGATTTAAAAAAACAACTACTGTATTTATGGCCATAAGGAGCAGTACAGAGTTTCATGTGAAAATAAAACAAAATAACAAGAATCTAGCCTAATGTTTATAGGATCTAATTTAGTAACTCACTGTCTTTCCACTAACAGTGCTGGTCAAACCCCACGGAAAATGAGGCATATCTATAACAGTGAGCTCTTAGATGTCTACTGCACCCAGTGCTGCAAGAAAATCAACCTCCTTAATGATTTGGAAGCCAGGCTGAAAAACCTAAAAGCCAACAGGTGAGTAAGCCCAATGGAGTTTCACTGAGAATCTGCTGAAAAACATGTTGGGAATGAGTATATTCAGCTATCTCTGATTTTTTTTTTTTTACTGAAACAAGCTTTGCCAGGGTAAGATATCCTTTTATAATGGTGGTAGTTTAACCAATTATTTTGTTATTGCAGGGCACCTTCATGATGGTTAGTTAACATTAAATTTAGTGATCCTAAGTAGACTTGTAGAATCAATTAAGCCTTTTAACCGAATGCTTGGCTCATTTGAGATACTCAGTAGAAGTTGGTTACTCAGCTTATAATTTAGTGAGCAAAATCTACTTCTTGCTGTCTAAAGTATGGGCTATCTTGAATGGATACATTTTTTTTATTATTGAGTAAAGTACTAGTGCCCCAACAGTTCTGAGAAATAAGACAGCATATCTAGCCGAGCAAAAATTGGCCTTGCTGATTTGATTCAAGCTTTGGGTTCCTGAATATCTGTAGTCTAAAGTACATACATGTGTGTCGATGGCTACACTACTCAGCTAATGTGTTTGTGTAAGGTTTCAGCTTCTTATCCCCACACTGAATGCTGCCAAAGGCTTTAGCTGAAGCTCAGTTTATACTGTATTGTCTTAATGCTGGAACAACACTAAAAAGGCTGGTGTTTACTGCGGCATTGAAGAATGAGTCACTCTTTGCTGTATCTGCCTAAGTATTTTCTCCTGTGCTTTATGTGAAGATACAGTGATTGGTCTATTTCCCATCATCCATGTAACAGCCTTTTAAATAGTTACTAGGAAAGGGCATAACACAGTGATAGAATTCATGCACCTTGTTTTCTCTTTTCCTGGAAATTCCAGGTTCAGTCTCTGACCAAGTTAAAGGAAAAATGTGTAAGATTTTGGGCCTTGGGATGAAAACTGTTCCCATGTAATGCTCTTATTGGCATGAATTCATTATTTGCCTTTTTTACACCTAACTTATACTCCGTCCCCAGGTATAGCCATTGGAGAGCAACCACTCAGTGTCTCTACTCCCCTGAGCTTTAAGTATTACCATTGGGAACTCAGTGTAGCCTGGAACATTCTAATTATTTGAGATTCCTGTTTATGTATTAACTCTAATCATTTATTGACAGAAAGAACATTACTCTTTTTTCCATAGTGGAACAGAGTCTGTCTTTTTGGTTCTTTTTCTTCCATTTTGTTCTGAGGTTTATTTCATAATTGTTCTGTTTCTGTTTCTTTGCCACCTGTCTAGGAATCGCACCATTCCTACCATTTATTCTCAGCTCCGTCAAGTAAAACCCTTCCAAATGTTGGTTTTAATGAATATATGTATTTATTTATATTTAATATTTCTTAACCACCCTTCTTCCTCAGTATTTATCTTACACCCATCTTTCCATCCCAAAGGACATTGAACTTGGTAATTAACAATAACAAAAATGAGAATAAAAGAAGAATGCAATGATAAAATGCACACCGCAATATTACAAAAAAAAATATTCATGAATTGAAGAAAGATTCCAAATCTCTTTTTCAGTTTTAACTTCCCATTTTAGAAATCAGTAATCCACGTTTTTTTTAATCGCCACGGAGCTATGTGTAACAGATTTAAAATATAAAAAGTTGTTCTGTTAGTTTTTAGTATTTTTCAACGACTAATTTGTTTACTCTGTTGATCATTTTAAAAAAGTTGCTTTGCACATTAATTATCAAAGTCATTGTTATATTGCAGGATCCAATCCGGGTCGTTAACCAGGACCAGAGGTATTTGTCTTCCAAGCTTTTGGAGTCCTGCTGGATCCCGTCCTGAAGGAATTTCTCTAGAGAAGCTTGGAAGACAAAATCTCTGGTCTTGGTTACCGACCCATATTGGATCCTGCAACATTATCCTGGGACATGTATATTCTCGTTCATTTATCATTGTTATATGTTATGATGATGTTAATGAGAATAGTTTTAAAACAAAATAAAATTCATGGAGGGTAAAATCATCCATGATAATCGGCAACTTATTTTCTTCAGAAACAAAAATATATTGACTCTTTTGAGTGCCAAAAATTGGGAAGCAAGAGTGGCAGGAAACTAGCAAAGTGATGTTTGTCAGCTTCCAGAAGGACCTGGAAGGGCACGGGATGCTGGAGTAGATACACATTTAGTCTGATCAGGCAGGACCCTTCTTACATGGATACAGCGCAATCAATCTATACTGCGTCTTGAAGTTACACAGTAGCTACCTGTTCTCAGAAATGGACAATGAGGGAAACTGAACAGGGCGCTGCTTCCCACAACATGCCAATTGGGACCTGTTCTGCCTCCCAAGATTGTGGTGCGTTTGGGGGGGGATTTTAGAGGGTTTTAAGTGATTTCAAGGGTGCCACCCCATTTTTAACTCATCCAAAATCAAAAAGTGAACCGAAAAAGGGTCAGTCGTATTACTTTTGATGTGTTATCAAAGCATCACTCGGTGGCCTTCTTTGTCCTTTCATAAGGTCTGGAAGCTGAGTGATGACTCTCAGTCCTTTAAATGATGCTTAGCCTGGTGTAAAAAGGGTCTAATTGTGAGCAGATGACTGTGGTGCAGGCCTCAATACCTGATTCAAAAGCCTATCTACCAAATCATTTGGACTTGCTGTCTAGTATGAAGTTTAAGGTTGTGGTTTTATTATGTTTTAATGCCTCAGCTATATTCCAAAATTATTAAAATGAGAACATGTATTGCAATTAAAATCTCCTGCATTTATTCATTTTTATTCCAGCCCAAACAGAAAGATCTCTAGTACAGCTTTTGGCAGGTAAGAGACATGGTAGATTATTATCAAAGCTAATCATTTATAGCTGCAAGCACATTTAGACAATTGCATGGGGAAGGAAGAGCCATATGGTTTGAATAATGTCTAAATTCAATTGTATCAGGGCACTTTTTGATCTGTAGCAAAGACAACCTTTTTCTGTCTCAAGGTACTTCATCAGTCTTTTGTATCAGAACTAAAATGGCAGAAGCTAAGCAAACTGGGTTTTTTGTGTTCTATCCCATGTTGCCTGGGAAGGTGGGGATAATCCTCTCCTTGAGGAAAAAAAGAAAAAAAATTCTCAGTAATTAAAGAACCAGTTAACATAGTTATACAGGACAGGTACAATTTGATTGTCTTGATTTTGCATTTGCTAAGGTTTTCTTTCTCTTCCACGGCAAAAGTAAAAGATACCTCAGCACTGTGAAAAGTGGACAGAATGCAGTGAGTGGGGCTGCACTAAGCTAGTCCTACTCTTGGAACAGCCAGTATGGTCTAGACCAGGGGTAGGCAACCTTGGCTCTTTTAGGACTCGTGGACTTCAACTCCCAGAATTCCTGAGTTCCTGAGTTGAAGTCCACGAGTCATAAAAGAGCCAAGGTTGCCTACCCCTGGTCTAGTACTTAAGGCACCAGGCTAGAAAATGGGAGACTGTGAGTTCAAGACCCGCCTTAGGCATGAAAGCCAGCTGGGTCACTCTCCCTTAGCCCAACCCATCTCGCAGGGTTATTCTGGGGAAAATAGAAGTTATGTTGGATATGTTTGCCACTTTTTTGTAAAAATTATAAGGGTAGGATGCAAACAAATAAATAAAACCCTACTCTCAGTTTTTGGATAGTGATTTATTGCTGCAGACAATATATCAATTGGGAGGGTGGGGGTGGCTCTGTGTAATCCTGAATTCTTCACTAAAGGTTGTCCTTGATTTATGACAATTAAGCCCAACATTTTGGTTAAATGAGACCTTGGTTAAACAGGTTTTGCCTCATTTTACGACCTTTCTTGCCACAGTTATTCACTGCAGTTGATAAGTTAGTAACCCAGTTGTGAAGTGAATCTGGCTTCCCCATTGACTTTGCTTGTCACAAGGTTGCAAAAGGTGATCACATGGCCCCGGGACACAGCAACGGTCATAAATATGAACCAGTTGCCAAGCATCTGAATGTTGATCATGTGATCATGGGGATGCTGCAAAGGTTGTAACTGTGAAAAACGGCCATAAGTTTCTTTTTCCAGTGCCACTGTAACTTTGAATGGTCACTAAAGGAACTGTTGTAAATCAAGGACTACCTGTATCTCTTAGTTCAATTCTTCACTATCTCTTAGTTCAGGGGTCTTCAAACTTGGCCCTTTTATGACTCGTGGACTTCAACTCCCAGAATTCCTCAGCTAGCATGCCTAGTTCAATGAAAGTTTGGCATGTTAAAAAATTAGGAAATTGCCTAACTTGTGTCACACACACGCACAGACATACACACACACACACACACCCCACACAAACAAAAGAGAAACAATTCTCTTTGTTTCCCCACCTCTCATCTGGGCCACCCCGCACGCAAGTACTTGAGAGCGGCACTGAGGCTAGGTCTGAAATAAAAGTCCAGGCCTCAACTTCAGACCTAGCACTGCCACTGCCACTCAACAATGCTGCCTCGTGCGATTCCCCAAGGTGCGATTGCTCCCACGGCCTAGTGCTCCCCATAATCTGCCACATGCTGCTTAATTTTGGGCAGTGTCCTCTTTCTGCTGACAGGCCCCTGCGGCCAACTTGAGGCTGCCTGGGTCACATGAGGTCTTCGTTCTTGAAGCACCTTATAAGAGTGCTCTTCCACGCCTTCTGCAGTTTCCCAAAACCATGCCTCATTTTCACGCAACTTGCAGAAGATTTGGAGACGAAGTGAGAGCACACCCTATTGTCACATGGCCTCCACAGCCTCCAAAAACTTTATGAGAACGAGACATGCTTTCAAGAATAGTTGTTGGAGGTTGGTGAATACTGGCATAAATGCTGGGGTGTCACCCAAAATGTTGTGGCATGTCAGTTTTGACACATGTGCCATAGGTTTGCTGTCAGTATCCTAGATTCATAGAAATCAAAGCCACAAAACTGCCCGGGTGAAAGCCATCTTTCTGCAGAGGTTGGTACCGAAGGCACCAAACTATGGCTGGCAGTTGTATAAGTAATTTCAGGGCTTTGTTTGTAAGGAGAGAACTAACCTGGAAATAAGGAGAAATTTCCTGACAGAACAATTAATCAGTGGATCAGCTTGCCTTCAGAAGTTGTGGATGCTCCATCACTGGAGGTTTTTAAAAAGAGACTGGACAGCCATTTGTTTGAAATGTCATAGGGTCTCCTGCTTGAGTAGGGGGTTGGAGTAGAAGATCTCCGAGGTCCCTTCCAATTCTGTTCTGTTAAAACAGGGGTGGGGAACTATGGCCCTTTTATGACTTGTGGACTTCACCTCCCTGAATTCCTGAGCCAGCCTGTCCATAAATCATAAAAGAGCCATAGTTCCCCACCTCTGTGTTAAAGGATGCTTTTTAGCATTACAAATTAAATAATTAAAAAATAGCACTGAATTAGTGCATTAATGGTGCAGCAGCACTGCTGTTTCAGGTGCCAGTCTGTTCTGAAGAAAATTCTCAGGCTAAAGAAAGAGCTGAGGAAATTTGTGAAGGGTGTGGAAATGCAGCAGACTGTTTTTTTAGGTCTGGGATTTGGGGGGTTCTCATTGAGGATATCAGGGGCTTGAACTCCTGTGACTGAGACAACAGTGAGGGTAAACAGAGGTTGTCTTTCACATAAGAGTCGTTTCCCTTGGACAGACACTCCAGCGCTGCAGTTATTTCTGTATTGCAAGTTCATGTCGCCGCCCTTATTTTAAAAAGTCGCTTTAGAATTAATATTAAATATTAAATATTTGCGCTGGATATTAGTGGTGTTTTGTCCTTGTTGTTTGTCAACACTGGAAGCTTCCCCACTGAATTACACAGTTGAAAGGGGCCAATCAGAGCACCTCTCTCCATCCCACTAAATGCAGAAATCCCGATGAAATCATGTTCTGGAGCTTCTTTTCCGAGAGGTGCTTTCCGAAGTGTTGAAATCTTTTCTCGTCTTTACAGACAACTTTTCCACAACAGCAACTTCAGCAGTAGTAATGGCAGCACAGAGGACTTATTCAGAGACAGCATAGATTCGTGTGACAATGATATCACAGAAAAGGTAAGCAGTTTCTACATCTCAATGAAGAAAAAAAACTGAGGAATTGGTTGATGCACAAAAGAGAAAGAAAGAAGGTATGAGGACTCCGATATAGTATACGCAAGACCTTGTTTCATTCTAATTGGTTGTACTGCCAACTTCTGAAAGACTTAGATCAGTAGTGGCAAACCTTTGACATGCATGTCAAAGGTGACATGTCACAACATTCTGGGTCTTCATGCCAGTGAACATCCGTCAACACACACTCTTCTTGAGCCATTTTTGGAGGTTATAGGGGCCGCATGAGAATGGGGGTGTGCTCTCGTACAGGCTCCCAAAATTGCATAAAACAGTGGGTGCTTTCACACTGTTTTTGAATGCTGCAAAGATCAAGGAAGTCCCTTCTCCAAAGTGGCTTTGGGAACTACGTAAGGCCTTCTGCAACCTGGAGCAGCTTCGGATAGGCTGCAGGAACCTGTCAACAAAAAGAGAACACTGCCTGAAGGGAAGCAACAAAGTTGGTGCTGATGCCAGGTGTTGCTGTTCAGGATGGCCTAGAGTGGGGGGGGGGTGTTGTTAGAGAATTGTTTCACTTTTGTTCGGGAGTGGGGTGACACACCAGCAGAGTCAAGTTAGGCATTTTCCTAATTTTTGACACACTAAGCCCAAAAGGTTTGCTATCACTGACCTAGATCAATACAATAACTCTGAGATTTGCAGCTGCAGCACATCTGGTAGTTGGGAAGCCTGTACTTGTACAATCTAGAATTAATTTATATGAAAACTGATAAGTAGTTTAATGGGATCAAAGATGTAAGAATGGAAGAATTAGGCAAAGTTTGTCGAGAAAGGTAGTTTGATATTAAAGGAATGAAAGAGATCCATTTTGATCGTTCTCTACTTAGTTTCTTAAGGGCTCAGCCCACTTGCATCCTATTTCTTTTTGTAGGTGACTTACTTAGAAAAAAAAGTGACAGAGCTGGAAAATGATACTGCAACAAATGGTGACCTGAAGAGCAAATTGAAGCAGGAGAATACACAGCTAGTTCACAGGTAATTTAACCTACTATCCACCGTGGCATTTTGGTAGTTTGCAGCAACTGGGAGCTCAGTTTTAATTTATTTCCCATCTGCTTGAACGGGGGATTGCTTGAAAACAGGACAATGTTATGCAGGTAGTCCTCAACTTACAATTACAATTGAGCCCAAAATTTCCATGGTTAAGTGAGACAGTGGTTGAGTGAATTTTGGTCCATTTTATGACCTTTTTGCTACGGTTGTTAAGTGAATCACTGCAGTTATGAAGTTAGTAACATGGTTGTTAAGTGAATCTGGCTTCCCCATTGACTTTCCTTGTCGGAAGGTTGCAGTGATCCCAGGACACTGCAGCCGTCATAAATATGAATTTGTTGCCAGGTATCCAAATTTTGATCACGTGACCATGAAGATGCTGCAACAGTCGTAAGTGTGAAAAACGGTCATAAGTCCCTTTTTCATTGCTGTTGTAATTTTAAATGATCATTAAACAAATTGTTGTAACTCGAGGATTACCTGTAAACTGGTGAGACAGTCTCCTTCAGTGATGTTTTCTTTGGCCCTTTCTGGATTTACAGAGCAAGGTCCTCTTAATAAAGGCTAGTGTGGATATACATTGTGGTGGACAAGAGAAGCAATATTTTTATTTTTCCATCCAAGAAAGAGGATATTTTCTAAATGTAGTCGGTAGTTTCATGTGTCAAAACATCATATCAGGTCAATATTTTATACTGGGGGAGTGGGGCAGTTTAGAGTTGGGGGCCTTCTAGAGAGCCTCGCAAGAGGTCTCAAGTGAGGTAATGATATCATCAGAAGAGACAGAACTAAACTTTTTTGGACTTGGACTTTCAGAGACTTGGGAATGGGAGGACGTGACACATTATTTGCAGAAATGTTAGTAAACGGAGTCTTGTGAATGCTCAGCCAGGGGCTGTATATGTGGCAGCAGATTGGAGAAGGCCATATAAAGAGAAAACAACCTTTGTAGGAAATGTTCAATCAAGTGAATAGCTAGAATAATTCAAATACCTTGCTACCAAACTGAATGAAATCTATGTGGCTTGATTACACCAGAGTGCACGAGTTAGAAGAACTACTGAAAGACCAGGAGACTTCAGCCCAGCAGAACCTGGAAGAAGAGATTAAGAGGCACAGAGAAGCCTACAGCAAATATGAAAAGGAGAAGGGCACAGAGATTGAGCTGCTAAACACACGGTAACATCCCAGTAATGTTTTAAACTACCAGGGGCTTTGTCTCAAAGTGGCCAGAATGCTGCTTGATTTTTTTTCCCCCTTTTGGATTAAGAGTGGCTCCACCTATGTACTTGCCATGGTTTCTCTTTTTCCCACACAGTGGCTAAGAAGCCCATTGTTCCTGTCCAGATACACAAAGGCAATAATTTATTTATCAAATTTACATAGCCGCTCATTTTCACAAGTGTGACTCTGTGCAGTGCACAATAAAGCAATCAAGTCTTTAAAAACATTAAAACAATTCCACATAAATATAAATATGACTACAGAGGAATGGAGCAGCATCCTGCACATAATGCAGCCATCTTGCAGGCTCCCTATTGGTAACATCAATTGGATGTTTTTGTTTTTATTTTATTTTTTATTCCAGATCAGGCAGAGGTAAGAATGATTGCTTTTAGATTGCCTAGTAAATTTTATGGCTGAATGAAGAGTAGAACCGCCCCCCCCTCTTCATTTTTATTCATTTATTAAATTTATATGTTTCCCATCTCACTATCGATGCTACCCGTTTCATTAATCTTAAACTATATCCAATGCTACCCATCTGAATAATCCTAAACGATACTGCCTCACATTGGATTTTTCAGTTTGCTATCTGTGTATCATCTCATGTTCATTTCCTCTGGGTACCCATATTTCTGGAGATGGCTGGGAATGTATACCTGAGCAAGGAAAATGGTGCATGAACTACTCTTTAAGAAGACTGATTTCTTCAATTATTTGGTGCAATGTAGGAAATGAGACAATTAAATTTTCAAAAGTTCACCAGTTATTAAAAAACTTGGGTACTTTCAAGAACTGGTATGCCGTTTCTTTTACCACTGACTTTTCTTTCTTCCTTTTTTTAAATGTTTTATTGATGTTCTAATTTTACATTTAAGTATTTAAAAAGCAACGTGGCGGCTGAATTAATCGAAAATTCAATGACATATAAGCATCTTTAGTACAAGTCTCAAACTACCACATTAAATATTTCCTCTCTTTTCCCCTTAGTATTTACTGTCTCATGTTTAAACTAATACAATTCTTATTATATCAATTAAACAAAAATAACATTCTTACATTTTTCAATAATTTTTAGCGTATACATATCCTGGTTATTTTAACATTCAGTCTTTATAGACAATCAATGTCCTAACTAGTTTTTCCCAATTTTTAGTTTCCCATTAATATTTAAACTTAACATTTAATATTTATAATTGCCAAGTTTTAAGTGACCAAAGTTCCCTTTATCGCAATTCATCACAAAATCTAATATTCAGGATACACGTCTTATCTATTTGAATATATTCTATTTCTCACCATCTTACGTCATCTAATTAATAATACAGTGTAACGTTCTTATTTTCCACTGACTTTTCATACGTTGCCACTGGTGAATCAAATTCAGTTCATATCCTAGCAGAACAGATAAACAGCTTTTTTCTAGACAATCGATTACCAGACTTCTGCCTTGCCTTCAGGGTTCAGCAGCTGGAAGAGGAAAACTGTGAGCTCAAAACCACTGTCCTACGACTGAAGTCGCAAACTGAGAAACTGGACGAGGTAACAAGAGTTTGCAAATGCTTGCTCTATATCCCCCTATTCCAAGCCAGCCTGTTGTCTCAGCCTAGCCAGCTTAATTTTTGATTCCCTGGGTGGACTGGTCTGTAGACCAAGACATAGCATTCCAGAACAGCAGTACTGCTGTGATCAGATAGTGGAAGCAAAACAATATAAAATCTTGCCCTTTAGTCCAGGAGTTCCAAACTTTGGCAACTTTAAGACCTGTGGACTTCAACTCCCAGAATTCCCCAGCCAGCCATGCTGGCTGGGGAATTCTGGGAGTTGAAGTCCACAGGTCTTAAAGTTGCCAAGGTTGGAGACCCCTGCTTTAGTCCTTCTACATTGATAAAGTAAGTCAAGAATAATAAAATGAGGCAGAGTTGTTTAGTAGAGCTCTGGGCTTTTAAAATGTATGTTGCTTCAATCTTGGATGTTTTAAAAAATGATGTTACCTGAGCAGGGCCGATCCTTTGACATGTTTGACCAGAAGACGAGGAACGTTCCCATGACAGGAAAGGGATTTCTGAGTAGAAGCAACCATAGGAGACAAACAGGATATCAGAGATACCTTGAGGAAGCAGATATTCTACCTGCGTCTACTGCAAACCTACGTACACGGGCCAGATCCTCAGCTTCGCAAGCAACCCCCCCCCCCATATCACACACAAAAGAAGCTGCGTCCAGGCCCCGTTCAGAAGAGCCAGGACACACTGCAGCACCACAGCACTAAGAAAAGCAGACAAAAAATGGCTGCTTGATGTCTTTCTCTGTAATGGCTATCCCAAAAACTTCATATTCCGATACACAGCACCCAAACCACCACACACCACACAGCCGAATGCCATCAAAAATGAACCTTACCATACCCAAAAGGGTTGTCAGAAATGACAGCCAGAATTCTTCAACCCCTAGGAATTGAGATAGCCCACCAACCCACAGCCACACTCCGCCAGGAATTATCTAGAACCAAAGACAATATTCTGTTGTTATCTTTTGTCTGGTCAGTTTGTGCTGCTCAGGCTGGAATTGCTAATTTGTTTGAATCGGCTGCAATTAACACATAGATTGGCAGTATGGAAACATGGATCCCATGTTCCGGGCTCAGAACTAATTAGGAACAGTTTGGCATTTCTTACAGAATTTGGGAATCTTCTTATTGCATTACTATGCTCTGGGAATCCAGCTGAACTAATTTACAAGCAGGATATCTCTAAGACCAAGCTGTGTTGCAGAAAACGATTAAAGTAGCATCCACCACTGCTTTGTGTGCCTGTGGGGAAGATCTAGTTGTGCAGGGCAGATGTTTATGTGGCTCCATATTTGGGGTCTGGTAGCTTTGTGTACTTTGTTCAGTAAATCATAGACTTAGATTTCTCTGTGGCCAAGAGGGACTAGTCACTTGATAGTAGGGAACATGCATACAATGTGTTTGTCTAAAGTTATGTGTTTTCTGTAACTAGAATTTGTTTACAGTATCAAATAATCTCCTTTCCTGTAGGACTTTACCACTCTATAACAATGAGTAGGGAAGACAAAGAAGATTTGTTGGTTGCTTGGTGGCCTTTTTATGTATATGCCACTTTTCCTTCAGGCACTCAAGGTTATCTCCTCCTATTCCATCCCCCAGCTATAAAATGTAGAGTAGATAGGACTGAAAAAAAGTAATTGGCTCAAAGCCATGCTATGAGGTTCCTAGAGCTGATGGTGGACTACAACCTGGGTCTCCTCAATGCTAATCCAACATTTTAACCACTATATCACATAGAAAAACAGAACAGTAATTCCCAAAGAGTTTTCTTCATGGCAGAACATCTAAGTGACAGCCCTGACTTTTGGCCTTATAACAAAGGAACAGTAAGCCAAACAATCTGACATTCTCCATTATTCTTTGTGATTGCTGACTTAAACTCTGCTGATGTTGCTGTTATATTGAAAAAGAATTTGCTGGGATCAAATTCCATACCATGATAACTTTCTATAGTTTTGGATATTCTTAGGAACTGGGGCTACAGGTGCTCTAATTACAGATTGCTATGCCAACGTAGCATTTTGTGGGCTAAGAGTTAGTGTAAATCCTGTTGGAACAGAGGAAGTAATATAAGATCTTTCTTGCAAGGGTTGAATGAGGTCAGTCAAAGGAAGCCAAAATAGTTACATGTAAAAACATTTCTGTTCGCCGTCTTGAGAATTGCTTGCACTGGGAATGACTTAAGAAGAATGTGTGGTAAAACTAGAAGAGGTAGTATCTAGAATGAAAGGGTGCTCTATGAACATAGAACGAATAGAGAAAAGAGCAAAGAGTACATTCAGGCGGTTTGAGGGAACGATGAAATTGCAAAAACAAGGGGAAGTGTACGAAAGTCATGGATGGACAGAGTTGGCAAGATCTTCAAAAAGAAAGAGGTGTAAAGTTTAAAGAACAAAAGGCAAGGTAGCAGTCTTGTTGACCTTTGGAAAACGGCCAGCCATTGTCTGTCTTGTTCTGCAGATCCCAATCTAACTTGTTCCATGAACTGAGGACATAGAAGTGAGAATCTGATGGCTGAGCAACAGATTGAATGGCTTAGACGTGTTTCTCTTCTCAAAGTACCAAAAGTTGAATAGACCCACATTTCAGAAAATTTCCCATATTGGAAAAATTAATCTGCTTGCATGAAAAGTTCTAACCTACCATTGACCAGGTCATGGTGGTTTTCTACATGCCTATGCAAATTTCGTCCATCAGCTCCCTGAAATGATCGTTTCCCTATACACTGAAAACTACCATTAGATTTTCTGGCAATCTGTAACCTTCTTTTTCAACCTTCGTCAGGAGAGGCAGCGAATGTCTGACAGATTAGAAGATACCAGTCTGAGGCTGAAGGATGAAATGGATTTGTATAAAAGGATGATGGACAAACTGAGGCAGAACAGGCTGGAATTTAACAAGGAGAGAGAAGCCACTCAGGAGGTTGGTAACTATGCAGGTGGCACACAGCCAGTACATCTTCCATGTCCTCTCTTGAGGCTGATGTTTTATGCTGAGATTAAACAAAATCATGTTTTCATTTTTTTTTAAAAAAATGTAGCTTTAAAAACTGTATGGCGGTTTGCCTGGTGTCACTGAAGCAGGGGTTGTTAGGAATAATGGCTGGCTAGCAACCATTTTCAAAAATGCATTCCTAAAAACCTTGAAGCCCTTTCAGATGTGTTACAGTGATTATTCCCAGAGGATGGCATGGTGGTTTCATAGCGATAAATCTGGAAAGTTGAAACTTGGATTGACTGAAATTGCAACTGATTGAAATTGAAATTGTTCCTTGTATGGCAGCCTTCTCATGTATGCACTCTGCCATGACATTTCTTTAGACAGCCTTTAGGCTTAGAAAAAGACTGTAAGATACTGTCCTTGAGTTTTTCCATCCTTAATTTTACTCGTCTTATCTTGCAATGTCTTTTCCTGTAATGAAAAAATTAGATAATGCTTCTAATACTGCCCGATAGCAGATGTCCTCGGAATGATGTACCATTGGTTAAAACACATACAAAATCAACCTCTATAAAACTATAAAGAGCAGATGAAAAAGAATATAAAATAAGTTTGTGTAGAAGCTGCCTGAAGCAATATAAAAATATGAAATCTTATGTAAAGAACAACACAACAGATAAGATAAAAATCAGAGGCAGCAAAATCAATGGCAATAAATGTAAAAATACAATAACAACAAAATAGCCATAAAACATTAAGGGTATAAAACCTTTAACAGTTAAGATTCTTAAAGCAAACTGCACAATGCAAACTCCACCACCAACAGCCACTCGTCTTGCCTCATTGGACGTAGGAAGCTGAAGAAGGGCCTCAGGAGAAGATCCAGGCTCCAAATAGATAACCTGGATTATGTTCACCTATAAACCTCTTAGTGACTTAAAGCCAGAACATCTACTTCAATAAGTCAGTTAGGGGTTTAAAGGTGAATAGGAATAGATTTTATAGAACAGTGGTTCTCAACCTTTTTAATGCCGCGACCCCCAACCTGTCGTAAGTCGAGGACTAAACCGATCGTAAGTCGAGGACTAAACCGGTCATAAGTCGAGGACTAAACCGGTCGTAAGTCGAGGACTAAACCAGTTGTAAGTCGAGGACTACCAAAACGGTCGTAAGTCGAGGACTTTCCCTGCCCGGGAGCGCCGCGCATGCGTGGTTCCGCCCTCTGCGCCGGCCGAGGCATAGCTGGCAAGCGGCAGAGACGGAGCAGGCCGACCACCAGCTGGCCCAGCCCAAGGGAGGTAAGGCACCCACCGGAAAAGGGGAAACAAATGGTGGACAGCCTTGCTTGGCGACCCCCGTGAAATGGTCGATCGACCCCAAATGGGGTCGCGACCCATAGGTTGAGAACCACTGATATAGAAGGTCTGGAAGCAGACTGACAGCCAGAGCCATGGCACTCAACTAGCCCCGGTAAGGAATCTAGCTGCCCTGTTTTGAACTAACGGAATTTTCCAGATCACTTCAATAGCCTGAACAAAAGCTTGCCAGCATAGAAACAACCATTGCATTTTTTGTTCAGGTACCGTCATAACTAGTACAGGTAGTCCTTGACTTACAACGACAATTGAGCCCCAAATTTCTGTTGCTAAGTGAGACAGTTGTTAAGTGAGTTTTTCCCCATTTTACGACCTTTCTTGCCACAGTTGTTAAGTGAATCACGGCAGTTAAGTTAGTAACACAATTGTTAAGTGAATAAGGCTTCCCCATTGACTTTTGCTTGCCACAGAAGGTCACCTGACGCCCCCCCCCCGGGACACTGCATAAATATGAGTCAGTCGCCAAGTGTCTGAATTTTAACCACGTGACCGTGGGGATGCTGCGATGATCACAAGTGTGAACAACGGTCAGGTCAGTTTTTTCAGTGCTGTTGTAACTTTGAGCAGTCACTAAACAAGCCGTTGTAAGTCAAGGACTACCTGTAGCTCAACAAAAAGATCAGCACTGAAGCCAAGAACACCCTACACCCTTCATGTTCTTTGGCGCACATTAGATCTTAGTTTTAATCAGAGGGCCAGCATTGGCTTTGTGCCCCAGATTATCCTGTCGTGTTCCTAGCCACAATGGTTCATTATGCCCTGCTTTTTCTGCAGCTCATTGAGGATCTGAGAAAGGAGCTGGAACACCTTCAGTTGTATAAACTTGAGTGTGAGCGTCCCGGTCGAGGGAGAAGCTCTTCCAGCTTGAGCGAATTCAATGCCAAGACGAGAGAAGTGGAAATGGAACACGAAATTAAACGTCTAAAACAGGTGAAGTATAGCCGGGGCTAGAAGAAGGAGGGAGCAAAACGAACCTTCTCTCTCCAAAGCAGCTACATGGTAGGAAGCCAAAAGGATTTCTCAACTCCCCTGGGCTTTTGAGGGTCTGAAATTACAAATATCTCCCTTTGGCCCAAGCTTTTAGCAAAGAGGCTATGTCGTTAAATAATAAGCATGTGGATTTTAGCATTCACAAGACCATAGATGAGACCTGATCATAAAATTTATCTGGGGTCGTGGGGAGTTGTCATTCAGCAGCTTCTATCAAGGCACATCACTTTTCTGCTTATAAGCTTGCAGCTCCTCTATTTTTATTGTCCAACATGGCCATGAAGCTATTGGGCTTGCAACCGTGTGTTGCTGTTGCCCAATAGAGCAATGTTTTTTAGGTACACTTTATTTCACCTTTGAAACCATGGAGGGACTACGCAAAGGCAACAGGACTGGATGTGGGAAACTCGTTTACCTTTTCTGTTTAAAATCCTGCCTAAAGCAGGACTGGAACTCACTCTAACCAGGTGCCTTAATCACTTAATTCTTTCCTTCCTCTCTTGACAGGAGAATCAAAAGCTCCACGACCAGAATGATGACCTCAATGGGCAAATCCTTAGCCTCAGCCTTTATGAAGCTAAGAACCTTTTTGCAACACAGACAAAAGCCCAGTCACTGGCAGCTGAGATTGACTCTGCCTCCAGGGATGAGGTAAAGGGACCAGTAGCAATCTCTTGCAGCTAATTAAATGACTAGGCTGGCAAAGTATCTCTCAGCAATCAACTTGGCAAAAACCTAACTTGGTGGGGAACTCTGAAAACCATGCTTTAGCAGTGCCACATTTGCTTTGGGATGTTTTATTTTGGTTTAGCTGGGATGACATCAGCATACAGAGGCACTAAGATATCAGAATTGGCTAAAATTCTTGACATTTTCTTTTATTTCTCTTCTGTCGTACTTCTTTACAACTAAAGTTATTTTCCATTGAAAATTGTTTCCGTGCACTACTCAGGAATTGTTCAGGAGCATTTCTTGAATCTTAGGGCAGGGGTCCCCAACCTATAGTCCGTGGCCCACTGCCAGGCTGTGGGCTACTGGGCTGGGGGCTGGCTGGCCAATGCACTTGCGCTAGAGCCCGCAGACCCATTTGCACATGTGTGCAGGGCTAGCAGTGGCGGTGGTTAGCGCCTGCACGCCTGCGCAAACAGGGCCGCTAGCCCCATGTGGGTTGCATGGCCCATTTGCGCATGCACATGGGGCTGGCGGCTAGCACCTACACACCTGCGCAAACAGTGCTGCTAGCACTGTGCGGGTGCACGCAGCCCCATTTGCGCACAGTCCTGTGCAAGTGCATGCACGCGCACACAAATTTCCCACCTGCTCCCTTTCCCTCCGGGCCGCAGCATGAAAAGGTTGGTGACCTCTGTCTTAGGGCTACCAGATCTGGGCTGCAGAAATCTGTATGACCACTGGATGGCAGCAGAGAGATACAAAAATGCAAATCTAGAATTAGATCTTATGGATTCTGCTATCCTGCCTTCCCTTCCACTTGTCTCCTCTTTTGTCAGTATTTCATCTCCAGTCTCAATTGATTCGGCTCACAGCATTTTGATTTACCTTTCTGTCCTTTGCGCAGCAACCCCGTCACACATTCAGGAAGTTATTCCAGAGGCCTTTGTTTAAAAAAAAGTCTCTGCCTCAGATTTTGTTATGCAAGTAAATCTTGAGCAAAGGTTGTGAGGTTTGTTACCAAATACTGTAGTACGAAGATGTAACTGGGCAACTGTGTATTTACAGAGCATAAATTGTGTTTGCCTTAGCTATTCTGGGTGTATGGAAAGTAACGTTATCGAATGTAAGTCTCTCATTTTAAAAGAAGTGAATGATCCTTGGCATGATTCAGACTTAATTTAACTCTGCCTTAGTTGTTACTCAGTGTGCTGAGCTGGGATTATAGATAAGGTCCTGGAGAGGAGCAGAGCCCTGGTTGAGAGTGTTGATAAGCTCATAGTAACCAATGCAGCTTGTGGAGCAGAAGTGGGATATGTGCTGCTCTGGGAATGCACATAACTGCTGTGCCCCTGCATTCTGAACCAACGGCTGCAGCATCCCCATGGTCATGTGATCAAAATTCAGATGCTTGACAACTGACTCATATTTATGACGGTTGCATAAATGTCCAGGGTCATGCGATCACCTTTTATGACCTTCTGACAAGCAAAGTCAATAGGGAAGCCAGATTTACTTAACAACCATGTTATTAAGTTAGCAACTGCAGTGATTCACTTAACAACTGTGGCAAGAAAGGTCGTAAAATGGTGCAAAATTCACGTAACAACAGAAATCTGGGGCTCAATTATGGTTGTAAGTCGAGAACTACTTATAGTTCAATCTGGAAATGACCAGGGCAAGAGTGACTGTAAGCAGGATCTGCTGATCTAGGTATGGGTGCAACTGGCACACAAGACAAAGGCCTTCCTAGCCACAATTTTCACCTGAATAAATAAATGTGTGCACTAACCCCTAATAGATCAAGGTCAGTGGCCAGTGGCCAAATTGTAGGATTTATCCAAAAGATCTAGATGACATTACGGGGTTTTCCCCTCTGAAAAGATAGATGACTGAGTCTGTCTCCATCTTACATGCTCAAGAATTGAGATTCATACCAAAGTATAAATTGATTCTCAGTGGCTTCCAATGAGTTTCTGCATAAAAGAGCATAAATTAACTGAGGCACAAGGATGGGGTGATACTTCTGCTCGAAAGCATGGTGTTGAAATTCATTATGGCTTCAACAATTTGTAGAACGAAGGTGAGGAAATAGCCAGCCTTCTTCCATTCATCCATCCAAATGAATCACCATTAGAATGATCTGGAAAGAAAGATACATTGAAAACAACTTTTGAAATTCAGGAGCACATAGTAAAATGGACACAGAGGATCTCAGAATAGTAGTGACCTCAGAGTACTTCTTAATCTAGTTCTTTTTCATTTCAGCTCATGGAAGCCCTCAAAGAACAGGAAGAGATCAACTACCGATTGCGCCAATACATGGACAAGATCATCCTGGCCATCCTAGACCACAATCCATCCATCCTGGAAATAAAAAATTGAAGATTGGGATGGGAAGGGAGGTGGGCAGATGGGATGCCTTTAGATTCAAGTATCTCTATTTGCTACTATATATGAACTTATAAATATATACATATATATAACTCTCTCAAAACACACAACATACAAAACACACATACACACACACACACACACACATATATATATATTATATATATATAAATAGAAAAAAACTTGTGTGGATACACAGGGCGTGTTTATATGAGCTTGATATATTTTGTGACTCATAATTTACATTGATCCATTTTCCATGCCCTTTCTCTGTGGGGATGCTAGGGATTATAATGAAAAACCACAAAACTGGATTTGCACTGTTTTAGATACTGGACAGAAAAAAAAATGATACTACCTCTAGATGAAAAGATAAAACATGATGGAAACTAACTTGTGCCAGGCCTTTTCCTAGCGTACAAACAATACTGAGCGTCTATGTCTTATGAATTGCCTCCCTGTCATCTCAGAAATATCTTGTATTATCAGGTTGAATTCTCACTGGTGCTGGCTGTGTTGTTTTAACTTTGCCTGAGTTAATGCTTCTGAAGTCCTCTCCTTGGATGGGAATGTATGTATGATGCAAAGCGGGTATTCTGGAATCTTCACAAGTTTCTGTTTGAACCTGGACTGTTTTAATTAGAAAGCAGTTTCTAAATCTTGAACCCAAGTGGCTATGAATCCTTTGGGATGGTGACCAGTCTGTTGTATTCCAGGGGAATCTGGGGTGCCCAAGAAAACAATGGGTCCTGGGGTTCCATATTTTCTTGAACTTACCAGACTATTCATGAGGTGCATTTTCTGACTTTGGGTTTTATTGCAAGATCACCAAGGACCTAATGGTGAGAAAGTTGGAATCATAAATGTGGGATGCTTCAGGGCTACAAAACAGTCCCAGCCCTGTTTCAGCTTCAGCAACAGCATTAAAAAGTGGTGGTTGCAGAGAGCTATTTGTTCACTGATAAGAACTTGGTGCTGTCACCGTAACAAATAGAAACCAATCATTTTTAAAATCGTTTTGTTTTATATTGCTTCATGTCAGCATTTGCAAAAGCACCCTCTGCTAATAAAGCAGTTAAGAAGTGGAGAAAGATTTTTGCTTTTTTAGGCACTCGTGGGTAAAAGTGACCCTGTTCTTACAGACAAGGCAACATTTTAAATGGTTCTTTTACAGGTTTAGGGAAAAGATGTTTATTTATACATATTAATATTTATTTGACGCAATTTTGGAGTTTCACTGAAAAGTTTTGCCTCCTTCACTCGAGGTGATTAGCACAGAAAAGCCAGAAATGATTGTTTATCAAGCATCACAGCTTCCTGCAATTACAGGAAGATATTCACCTCACTTTGTGCCATCAATAAATATTCTCAGATTGAGTCAGGCTCTTCATGTTTTCATGCCCTTGCTATTATCACTGTCACCACCACCACTTCCTCCTCCCCCTTCCTTTTTCTTTTCAATCTTACTTTTGTAACATAAGCATTCATTCATTTTCAGAGCAAATCCTCGTGATGTTTTGTATATCACCACCCGGGCACGCTCTAAGGAAATCTGTAAAGTTAAGTGATGGCTTGTGCAGGGACCATGGTGAAAATGAGTTTTGTTTTTTCGGTTAAAGATTTCTCCCTTCCTGTCTGAGATGTGTTTTGATAAAAAAAAAAAAACAGCACAAAGGCCTTCATGTGCATTGCAAGTAACAATTCAGATGCATGGATATGTGCAGTCACATGCATGTGAGAAAAGAACAGTGTGTTATTCTATAATGACCTGTGTGCAGGCTTCATCGTCTTCCCACACGAAAGGTAGGCACCAGATACCCTCCCTGGATATCTGCGTTATAGTTCCATAAGCCCTGTTCAGTATAGGTGGTGTCCAAGTATGATGTGATCTGTAGTCTAAAAATATCTTAGAAGCCCCAGATTGCCTGTCCCAACACATGTGAAAGAGAACTGCATGCTCTGTATAATAGATTAAAAAAAACTCTATTGGTTCATATGTATTGTTTTCTTCCGTAAGCACATTTCCAGTTTCAAATCAAGCTGTCTTTTTTTTCCTTGCAGTGTCCTGAGTAAAGTTTGCATAATTAATTTGAGAGTCTCTTCAAAGAATAAATCAAAAGATTGAATCTGATGTTAATTTTATCAGTTTAAGATTCTAAGCATTGAAACCCTGTTTCCAAACTGGGTATCATGATGGTATATAAATTATAAAATTATGTTGTGCTTCAGTATTTCACATTCTAACAAGTGTTATGTTTCTGCACAAATATAATCTCATCGGGAAAAACGGGGGGGGGGCATACCCTTGTGTTTATTGGCTGTGTTTTCTAATAAGTAGCAAGAGAGTTGATCGTTAATACAAGGTGACACTTCCCAGGGCCAGCCATTACTTTTACTCCACGTCTAAGCTGCTTCTAATACCTCCTTTGCTTTTGACTTTCTGCATTTGGTGCAAATGAAACTGAATCCATTGTATTACTACCTTCTTTTTAGGTAGTCAAGTCATAATCAAAGAAAGGAGACTTCTGAATTCTTTTCCCAGTCAGGATTTGCCAATCCCTTGCATAGGCTGGAAGGAATCCTGCTCCTGAAGGAACCACATTCCCAGTATCCACCTGCTGCAAACTACAGCAGTGCTTCCTTTCTCTGTTTGGGAAGGGAGGTGATAATTTATGTAACCACAGACCTTTGGAGAATTTATTTTTTTTACAGGTTGCCTTTCAAGAGTGGGGTTAAGACTACTTATTCCAGCTTGCTTTTGGTTTATCCTGCTGATATTTTAATGGTGAGAGTTGATGACTTCATCAGTTGACAGGACAGGAAGCAAAATGTATCTGAAAGTTCTTGAAAGCTGAAAGAACCGGGCATGTTGAGTTTGAAGAAGTTTGAGGGGGAGAAGTTCTAACAGAGAAAGGAAAAAAAAATCTCCGCAAGTTAGGAGGTGAAGAGGTGAATTGGATAGAAACTGAAAGAAGAATTTTTATATGAATCATGGGAGTAATTCTGAGGAGAGTAAAGTGGTTTCCAAGAGGTGGCAGAAAGGCTGTCTTGTTTGCAGATGATTAAATTGGTTTGGATTAGCAAGCATTGAGGGAGAGAAACCTTCCCAATGTGGTGTCTCTTAGGTTGATGGTGCATCTCACAGTAGCTATCATCCTGTCTTCCAGAAGGCACCAAGTTGAGAAAGACTGGGTTATATGACCTGATTCCCTTACAAATCAGAGGACTGCATTAAATTAATATTTTGCTACCAAACCTCAGTCCACATACTATTCCTGGTTGTCTTTAAATGAGTCTTTGCATCCATTTGCTTCCTTCTTTGCTCATAGAAATGTGAGCAATGTTTTGATGTTTCTAGGGGCCAACAATTTCTTTAGCCAGTTGTCTGTATTATATGAATGCCTTTGCTTTAGCACAACAATTTGGGAGATATAAATGAAGAGGCCTGATTGTCAGCATAGCTTATTTGGAATTCATATTTCTGGGCATGAATTTCTACAAATGCTAAAGTTTCCCAGCATGATTTCAGATCAGGAGTTGTTGAAAGGCTAATTAAGTCTTCTGATGAACATTTTCGGCCAGTAGTACAACATTGCATTATAATGCAGTAATTAGGCCAAAAGGGAGGGACCGTAGCACATTAACAGAGGGAAACTGTTTATTTATGATTGAAGATAATGAGACAATTTGAGATAGGTTCATTTAAATGCCTCTGAGCAAAGGCTGCAAGAGATGGGTTTTTTTAGTAGTGGAAAATGAAAGCAGAGTGGATTGCTGAATTATATTGAAACTATAACTGTTGGCCTCTAGCTGAGAGAAAGTCCCTATTTCTGAATAGGCATGGATACATTTGTGCTATCAACAAAGATTGCCATGCAGGATACAAAAATGAGAGTGGCTAGTTAAAATTGGATTTAATCTCTAGGCACAAAATTTGTTTGCTAGGAAAGGTGTCCTAATTTTAAGGGTTACAGATGTTCCCAGCTGAACTGCAGGATCTTCATAGTTGCACGTTTTTTCTTCTTTAAAAAAGACTTCAGCTGCTGAAAATCTGGAGGTCCACATATTTTAGAGGCTACCCAGTAGAGAGAAGACCAATGTTATGCTTCAAACAGGAACCAACAATCTACTCAAAAGAACACAAGGTTTTATTTGCAGCGGTTCCTTAAGTAAATATCTGTTGCTATCTGTTTGGCAGAATGATTTTTCAGTTCCCGTAGATCACCAGTGCAAAGTTCATGTTGTAAAGAAGTCAGCCTTATCCATGTGCAAACTTGAGTATGAGAGGCTGCTTAAATAGATAGGAGTCACTTTTAGGAAATGGGATTTGCTAATGGGAATCTACCAATAGTTTTTTTTTCTCAACATAATTTCTTGTCACACTGTCAGAGACCTTTTATGTTTGCTTGGATTAAAGTGCATTAGTGTATACTTATCTACTGAGCCAGGATTTCTTGTGTATTTATACAATGGGCACTGATGTAACAATCAAAACATAGTTGGAACAAATGCTTTCACCTGATCCAGTGGCTTTAATAGAACTTCAAAATTCTGCTAAGGTTGATGAACAGCTGGTTGAAACTGAAACACTTGTTCCCTTATTGGTTCTCATCCCTACTACTAGTTGTTGGAACACCTTTGTATTCTGTGAAAGTAAAAAAAGAATAACTGTTCCTCTAAAGGCAACAAGTGATCCCTGAGATTAAAACAGTGACTATCGAAACTTTTAGTAGGATTTAAGACATCCTAACCACCATGGATCTTACACTAAAGTTGTAACTTGATTTTTCATTGAAATCATGAATGCAGTTGGATATTGCATTCAACGAGATATGTTTGAACTGCTGTACTTTGAACTCTACAATATGGGAGGTTTAGTCATCTTTCCTGTATCCTTTATTTAAAATTGCGAATTTTAGGAAAGCATTATTCATCTCAGCAGCAAAGGAACTAGAAATTTCCTATCCAGTAGTCTGTAGTAGGGCACGAGCTTGACTCTCTCAGTGAAAACTAAAAATGTTATCAAAATGTTTAATTTTAAGAATTTTATCAGTCAGTTTGAATTCCCAAACTCAGATTCTGAATTTTAGCTTTCAAATAATGATAGAAGCCTTGAAACCAAAATCTGGCTTCCGAGTATTGAGTTATGGGATAGGAAGAGAAAGAAAGTAAAGAGAGGCTAAAACGAAGTTGTAGGTTATAAATCTGAGCTTCTTTTGGGTGTTTTGGCTTAAATAGTATTGATGGCTCTTATTCCTTTAGGATAAAGAATTGGATACATATATTCTTTCCTTTTCTCTATTCCCAAAGCAATGATCACTTGTAGCTGAGTTTTGTTTTTGGCAAAGTAAGACCCTTTCATCTTTGGCTGATGAATGGGGTCAAGTTGACTTCCTTTTGGCTGTGACTGCATTCCTGGCAAGAAAAATAATATAGCTTCCCTAGAACTCTAGATTTCCCTCGTTGCTTTCTGATCCCAGTGTTCATTTTTTTGAAAAATTAACCCAGTGTTATCTTTCTACTTCTGAAGTGGCATGTCAACACCTCAGAATTACACATATGGGCTGTTCCCAATGCCCATGCATGTACATAAGTAAGATTACAAGAGGGAAAAATGGAAACACTTTACCACTAAAGACTGAAACTATAATTACGCAAATCCTCAGTGCAGATTTATCATTGCTCACCCCAATTTATAAAATTAACAAGCTGGTCTTTCAAGATGTGCAGGGCAGAAAAAAAATAGCATCTTTGATCTGTATGTTACAAGGCAGTAGTTATGTTCAATTTCCAATGTGTTTTGGTACTGATAGAAATTGAGAATTGCTGTATTTTTTTATTGTGGGAACCACTATTGTAGTTTCGCTTTATTGCACAGAATGTAGTTATGTGTAAGGATTGGATTTTTTTAAAAAAATTATTTTGCATGATTTTAGTATTTTTGTGCCTTCTACTTGACTGTGTACAGAATTAATGTCTATTGAAATTCATGCTATT